GTGAGGAATGCTGATCAATCCCGTTCACACTCCTGACCCACTTCAGGATGAAGCTGTAGCGGTTGTAAAGACGCAGTTCCTCTCTGGTGTGTTTTGTGGTGAGGGTCGGAGAGTCTCCTCATTCTGCTTTGTTTCTGCTAAAGTTCAGACCTTAAACAAACTGAGGCTCCTTTGTGCTTCCAGCCGTCAGCAGAAACTAGACTTGGTTTAATCAGTGTAAATAAGGAACCGACATTATCAGCCCAGCTTCCCGGTATGCCTAGCTGACTCATGCACTGATGCAACAAGCAGCAAGCTCCGACTTAATGGTTTTATCTCACAGACACATTTGACTCAATGTTTAGCACTGCTGCTCATCAGTGTTCGAACATTGTTTTCTGTAAAGAAACGCTGTCGTAAAACAATGCTTGTCTATGTTTATCTAACGACTCTGTATAACTGGCACATATTTTCAGGAATGAATGCCCTGAAGGACAAAGCTCCTGCACAGGGAGTGGTAATAAAGGAACTTGTGAAAACAAAAACTTCCCCAAGAAGAAACTGCAATATATTATTATATGAATGTAGAGTAATTTACAAAAGACAGCTATACAAACTTTTAACCACCGTAGATAATAAAACAGTGATTTATCATGGCAACAGTACTTGCTACAGTTAAGCTAACTTGCACTGTTGAAACTGACAACAGGGCATTTGGAGAGTGCAAACTCCTACTAGGCTATTTCCATTAGGGGGAAAATAATGAGTGTTCGGGATCTGTGGTGAAGAAAATGTACCACGGCGTAAAAAAACTTGTGTTACCGATTGCACCAAGAATAGATATGTGCTTAGGTTGGTCCTTGGTGCTGTGGCAGGAACAAAACAACGATGAGGGCGATGACCAAGTCATTTTACCGGTGTATGCCTGAACACAAAATTGAACACCTTTCTACCAAGTTTCAGTTTCTAACAGGGCCGTTAGGTCTTTCCTAATACGCTGACAAATGGGCAAAACAACTCCTTTCTGCACCTGGTAATAGTTCGTGGTATATGTAAGGCTGGTTATTAATACTAAATATTTTTTCGGTGCTGACTGAAAAGCTAGCATGAATGTCTGGTCGGATTTGGATCTTCTCTTATTCTTTCATCAGGCCAGAAGCTCCTTCTTTGTACCATATAACAAAGACAAATATGATATTAGCATCAGTTATACTGTCTGTTTCTCATCATCAGACATCTTTTGTTCGACTTTATCAACCAGGCACAGATGCATAATGGCACAAAACATATAATCTCACTTTCTAGACTCAACCATTCTCTTCAATACCACACCTATGACTTCCACCCACATCCTCCATGACCCACCATCACCCTTTTCTAATAGGCATCACAGAACTGCTTCGTACAACATAGCAGTCATGTTAAAACTGCCTGAGCTGGAGAAACTACGAATTCTCTCCTGGATCTGCCTGCCCACACTGTCTAGTTGGTCAAATCTAATGAGTGGAAGCACGAGGATCATCTCTCCGCCTACAGACACTCACTGAACCGCGAAGAGGACCTGGACAGACTCCAGCGTGTTTGCAACAAATGCAGGCAGCTGCTGAGTCAGTATGCTCCGCTGCCGGCCTCCCTCTTACTACTGAGTATCTGTGTCCCTGAGGCACTGCTTTATTCTGCAAAGAGCTGGCTTCTGACAGAGACTCCTTTGCTGTACAAGGTGTGACCCAGAGCTACTGGTGTGTGGACGAGTTGGAAACTGCCAGCTTCACCAAACCAAACCACATCCTGTCAATTGAGTCTGCACTGCCGTTTTTAGTCTTTAAACGTCTGAAGTTTGTGAAGGAATACTTACAAATTAGCATTGTAGATAACCAATTTAGCATGGATTGGAACTTTATGGACTATTCCTTACCTCAGAAATGATTATACCGATAGTTTGGGAGCTCATTATCAACCAAATTGTCCTCCTTAGTCGGTCCAAAAATCGTTCTTTACCAAATGCTCCCATAACGTACGCATACTCTTATACCTTCATATTGTATTTTAGGGTTTTGTTCTTGTTGTGCAGTTCAGTATACTCCTGCCATCTATAGGTGACAGAGCAGCTAGGATAATCTCTTCAATTTGAACACAAATGCTGTTGAAACTTGTTAGTATGCACTTTTCCCATCACCATGTTTTTATGCAAATTCAACAAAGCCTATATAAGTTAACATGATTTTAGAAAGAATGAAAGGCCTTTGGAAATGTGTGGATTGTCCTAGTTTAGCTACACCAGCATGTGTTGATGCTAATCACCTACATTCCTCCTATTTGCCTGAAAGCCCACAAAAGAAGGAACAAAGTGGGGTGTTAAGTTACCTAACTGGTTAACAATACATGGCATTTTGTTTTGTAAATCATATGTTCTGTCCTTTTAACAATCTGTAGTACATGCTGTAGTGGATGGAGGTGCACTGAATAAACATATAACTATACTTTAAACTATGTCAAAAGTTAAATGTCCTTAATTGGGAAAGGGAGAGTCTTTCTTGCAGGGAGAGAAAAAAAGGAATCCTATGAGGTAGAACCAGGCCAAAGACTCATGTTTAAGTTTATGTTTAAGATATGGATGCCCCTATTAGACTTTTAATGTGACTGTGGAAATGATCGTGGTCATTGTGTTATGTGTGAGGCAACATAAGGAAGGGCTTGCACATTGCTTTCCCAACAAACAGCCGGTATTCGTGATGAAACGTCACAACATATCCTCTTAATGTCTTATTTTGCGTCTCATCAAACACATCATCACTAATCCTGGTCCTCCTGGCTCCTTGTTTTTCATGGAGAGGCCGACCCATTATTCATCCACTGACAGCTAGTCTCTGCCAAAGCATCCCATCTCTTCTGACACAACTATTCACTATTCAGCGGTGCTGCTGCAGCCCCTCTCCCTGCTGCTGCCGCCGCCGCCACCGGGGATATTAACGGATTACCCCAGTGCTGACCTTTTAATGGGCTGAGCTTTTTTCCACATCAGACAGCTGTAAACAATATCTTGCAGCAGTAATGGCTTTACATATACATATTTATGTTTATTTCACACTTCCACTCTTACTTCTGTGAAGTGTGATAACTCCAGAGAGCTGCTATAATGTGGAGTACATGTGGAGTATAAAGATATCACTCTCAATCAAGAATGAGGCAGATGGCTGGAGAGGCAGATTGCAGTGTGTAGTTAATGACCAAATGAATGGACGTTAGTCTGCATGGCTGAAGGGCACCATTCGGTTTTGTGTGTATTTTTTAGAGCTGGACAATTTTTTCGGTTTTACCTCTTCCCTTAAACTGTGCCAACCGTCGTGCCGCTGTGTAGAGCCCAGCCATCTGCCACTTTGAGAGAGAGAGAGAGAGAGAGAGTGTGTGATGCCAGCACAGGATACTGCATGGGCCTGTGATTGGTCAGTCTGAGGTGTGATACATTTACAGAGCCTGTGTTTGTAGATTATTTTGATCATGCCAGAATTTGTACCCTTTTGTTGATTTTGTTCTTTCATAAATGAGCAAACAAAGTAATGGATTTACTTGATTTTTGCATCAATGTAATGTTGTAGCTTAATATCATGGCTGCAATAACAGATTTGAAGCCTTCTAGCAGCATTGCTTTAGGAATGGCAATGTTGTGTACGTGTGTGTGTGCGAGCACTATCAGAGCGATTTCCTTTCCTCGCAGACAGATCGACAGACAGACAAGAGAGACAGGGTTGGTTTGATATCGAGAGAAAGAGAAGGGGTGTGTACCGGCTGCTCATGTCAGTTATTTTTCTTATCAGTAGATTGCTGATGTTCGTCATGGAACATATTCAGCACCTGTGTGACATTTTAAAAGTCATTGTGTAACAAAAGACTGATGCTATCTGTTTGATCGTAATGAGGGTACTCCCTATTTCTCCATGTGTTTCTTTGTTGCTACATTATGAACAACAAACATATGTACAAATCATAGAAATAAACAAAGAAAGCTTGTTGTCACCTACTTTAATTTAACATTCAAATATGGTCATTTCCTGGTATTGTTTCATTATCTCGTACCTGCTTGAAATTATTGTTATGTTTGTATGTTTTGAAACTCATCTTTCATAAAGTTAGTAGGTATTTAACCATAATATTGGAGGTTTTTGAACCAAAAAGATGACATTTGATAACTCACAGGAGGGCTATTTTCTGCCCCCCTGCTTCTACTGACCTTCTTTTATTTGACTTAAATTTGACCGCATAAATTGTCTTATAATATTAAATTAGCTGAATCTTTTTTTCGTTTTACTTGGAAGCCACTCAGTTTATCTCCTTGATGACTTCCTGGGACTACATTATGAACCTGTCTACGTCTCTGATTCTGTATCAACAGTTATCTTGATATGACCTCAGCTTTGTCTAACCTGTTGCACCACCTGAGCACCATCATCACCCGCAGTAAATCTCAGGTGTAGCAGGACGTTACAGGTGACTAACAACCAGTGTTATAATCCAAAGCAGTAACTTCCTGAATTTCACAACATCTCTGAGATAAAGTAGCTCCTCCTCCTCTCCTCCATCTGCTGTCAGAAGCCCCATTCACAGCCTATTGTGATTATTAACCACTGCAGCAGAATGCACATGAAGAGCTCCAGAGCCCCACCATGATTAAGTGAGGGGTCCCTGTGAGACATTCTCATGCTAATCGCTGTATATTGTGCTTGCTGTGCCCAAACTGACACCAGAGAACCACTGTTTCTCTTACCAAATGAAATGATAAGTGTTCCCAGGATAGCGAAGGAAAATGACTGTGAACTGTTTTCAGTAACATGCTCAGAAAAACACTCAGAAATACCAAATTCAACTCATCACCTCAGGAGACAGTTTGACAAATGAACAAAAGGTTTTTTCGTATAAAGTATTTTTGTTTGTCAGACCAATCAGAACATGTTGGTGAAAGAATCCCAGTGAACATGTAAAGGGCCAGACGGTGGAATGACTAATTTCCTCTCCTCTCTCCGCAGCCATCAAGGTCTACTGTCAGGGATCATGTGGGATCTCCAACAAAATGAACGAAGCCTCGTGGGCTCTGGAGGAGCAGTACTTCAACAGCACGCTGTCTATTGCTGACAAAGGTGACAACTGTTTGTTTATTTTTTTATCTAAACACACAGGTTAATGCACAAGCTTCACATTCAATCCTAATTATCTCAGAAAACAATATAATAAACATTCCCAATTAATAGAATTGTTTGAACTCTTGATCTTCTTTCACTTTTATATGGTTTGAACACCAAAAAGTTAAGTTTTTTTTTGCTCTTGCCACATTATACCCACTACCTTCTTTTTACATGCAATAAACAAGTCCCGTACGCACATCTATGAAAAGAGCACAGTCATAGCATAAGTGGAGATCATTAAAACATGTTTTGCTGTTTTCAACCTATTATAGTTTTTCATTAATTGTGTCCTTGGGTGTCGTGAAAGGCATCTCCATATCAAATGTATAATTATAAAAAAAAAATCTTTATGATGCCATTAATGCTCAAACAAAAAAACTCATTATTTTACAAAAACGGGAATCTTACATAAGTGTTGTTGACATTGAATGGTGTTTATTTTGCTATACATAGAAAAACATTAAAAAATGTAAGTTCTTTAGTTACAACCTCTTTTTTCCTCTTCTTTCTACTCGTGCAGTTCAGTCGAAATTTCACAGAATCTTTGTCAAGTGACTTCTGGTCTCCTCTGAGGCACTCATGGCTTCCCAGTTTGGCTGAGGAGCGCATCATTTCATTTCCTTTTTACACGCTCTGGTCAGTGCCAAAGGGTTATTTCTGGCTGCATTTTCAATGAGACATTCAGAATAAAGGGATTTTGAATGGATCGTCACTTTTTAAAGCCTTACAGCTGAAGCATTTGTCACACATGGTTCATACAAAAACCTTAAGAAATGAGAAAATTATGATAATTTCAGTTTTTCTGGTGTGTTGTTTTTAAAAGATAACATGTCTTTCAAACCCACTGAAAGGTTGTGGGTTCAACTTGATATGTAGAAGATAATCCATGAAATGACTGCCTAGAAGTCAATGAAACTGGTCTAAACATGAAGAAAATCACTGGTCCTTTAACAGCACATCACCTTTATTTGCATGTGACTGCAAGTCCTCAGCTTACATCCTTTAAACTCTTTGATGCGTCTCCTCTGAGAGAAATGACATTTATGAAGCTTCCTGTCTTAACAACACTGTGTGACGTGACTGAATCGCCTCAGCTGGGAAATCTGCTGCAACAGGCTTAATCTCAAAAAGGCAGCAGCAGGTTTTTGCAGCCATGTAGTGAGGAGTTAAAGCCTCAATCAGTCACAGCAGCACTCTCCGGCAGTCATGCTGCAGCCGGACTCTCTGAGGTCAGACTTGGATTGCAGTGGAGTCGTCTTTTCAGCTTTGGAAGGTTCCTATCAGAGTGAAATGACTCAGAAGTACCTAAGAGGCAGCCATGATAAGAGCTGTTCCAATTCTCTAGATAGTAGAAGATAGGTATCTCTTTTAGAATATTTACTGGACCATCCTTTACGAAAGGAAACAAGATAATGCTGTCCCACAAGTCCTTGCAGCCGCAACCTTTAGAGGGGCCCTATTCTGCTCATTTTCTCACACTGCCTGTACTGCAGCCCCTCTTTTCACCTGTCTGAAACCAGAGCCCAGTCTCCTCTGATTGGGTAGCTGGCCGGCTCTGTTGTGATTGGTCAACCGCCTAGGAAGTGTTGGAAATGTTTGTAGGAAAGGGAAAATCCCCCCAAAGCATAATTGGGCCTCTTTAACACCATGACACTTTGTACTGTGATAAAGGAAAAAGCTGTTCAAAAAAATACATCAGAACTTTTATTATTTTATTTTATTCGATCACAGCCAGGGCCCCAGTGTCCGGCTGTGCCTGATCAGAAGGTTGAACACGCTCCACAGATGACAGGTTTTATTTCCCCCCCCGTCTCTGGGTAGTCAGGCCCGGCCTCAGTGATGCCCTGCTGACCGGCGGAAGCGAGGGCTTACAGGGCCTGTTGTTGCGAGCGTGATCTTCCATCTTTTGTTCTTGTTGCCGATACACAGCCAGAAGGTGAAATGTGCCATGCATGCATGAAATGTGTTGTAAATGCAAATCTCACTGTGGGACCTAACGGCACTCATCGGAGCATGTAATCCATGTTGGTTAAAACATCAAGACTAGGCAGTTCATGTTTAACTCTCAGGACTGTGAGCTTCCATATGTGGAATACACCACTCTATATGTTAATTTTATATATATATATATATTTACTTGTTAGTAGTTATTGTGTAACTCTTTAGAAAAATCTGCATCTGCATTATCTGCAGGGAAGTTTTTAATATATAGGGTTCAAAAAGGTCATTATTAATCAATATAGTAAACAGCTCAATCAATATATACAGTATATCTTATCTGAAAAGGATCTTTTGATTGAAAACTGAGATATGTTTGGCATTCTCATAAAAATGGTGGCATGAAAATATGAAGTAACTAATAAGCACCAGTCTATAAGACTTAGTGGAGTGCAAAACCTGAGAGATAAAAAAAAATCTACTAAATATATACCACATTTTAAGTATGATGATTAAATATATAAGTCCATAAAACACATCTTGATTATCCTTGAAGCAAAACCTTTTTAATAATAAAAAAGGAATACAAAAGAAATTCAACTAAATAAATCCCACCATATAAACCACATTCTCTGGGTCCTTGAAGCGAACACGTTTTAGTAATACATATGACACAAATAAATAAGTTAAACTATATAAATACCACCATATACCACATTTTTAAGTACAATTGAAGCGAGAGAAGAAGTATTTCCCTATCTGAGCACACAGAGTACACTGTAAAACACCGGCACACCATGCTCCAAAAAGAGGAGGACATAAATAATTCATTACACACCCTCCCTCTGTGCTACCCTTTATCTCTGCCATTTTTTCCATATCCCATTCTCTTCCGAAAATGGGCTGCTCTGCCCCCAACGGCGAAGCGGCACAGGGAGAGCGAGACAGCAAGGGTGACAGTAGACCACACACACACACACACACACACACACACACATACACAAACACGCACACGCACACGCACACGCACACGCACACACACACACACACACACACACACACGCTCTTACACGAAGCCAGCCACGCTCACTGTGGCTGAATGATAATGTGGAATGCCACAGATGCTTGGCGGTTAGAGGAGTGATGTCAGCGACCGCTCTCCGCCCTGTCACTGTTGGCAGTTAATGACCTTCAGGAAATGAGAATCCCCCTCCCACTGCCGCAGCTGGGCTGTGGTTAAACTGTAGAAACTGACATATATATTTAAATAACACATGAGCGACACCCTGTTGCATTTCCTGTGTTTGGTATTATCTATTGATGATGCCTTACACATATCTGCAGAGACAGCATTTCTGTTTTTTTTTGTAAAAAGAAAAAGATATATAATTATAAAAATATATACCATCATATATACCACAAGTTCAGTATCCTTTTAGAACAAATATGTTACTAATATATATATGAAACATATAAACTAAACTAAACAAAATAAATACCAACAGCAACTTCTTATATATAACATATCTCTTTTGTGAAGGTTGCAGCCCTTGCAGTCAACATGTCGACATATCCATGGGCAAGATACTTAATCCAACATTGATCCCGGTGTGTGAAAGTGTGTGAATGTTTGCTAACTTCAGCAATTGGCACATGACTCTGTATGAAGTGGTGTGAATGATGACTTGCAGAATGTAAAGTGCTTTGAGGGGTTGTAAACACTGGATAAAGTGCTATATAAATACATTCCATTTACCATTTGCTAGAGCATTGTCTATTTTTTGTACATACGTACATCTTGCTTAAGCTAAGGCTCCTAATGTTTCTCCCTTTTCAGCTGTTGACATTTTACCTGGGAAAGTGTAGGGCTTGTAGGGAAGATTGTTTGTTGAAGGCTGTAAGAAACTAAAATATGACAGTATGTTTGAGTTAGGGCTGCTCGATTATGGCAAAAATCATAATCTCGATTATTTGGATCAATAATTGTAATTGCGATTATTAAATGCGATTATTCATTGACTTTGAAAACATCCATTTATTGTACTTTAAAACAAATACAAATAATAATTTGAACTTTTTAACTGTTGAATTATACGTCCAGGGTAATCAACTGAAAAACCAATAAAAAATAAAATAAAATAAATTATACATTCATGTCTACATTTAAATAAATAATATCAAAATAATAAATACCAATAAACAAGATCAACACACATGTTGCAGTGCACTGTCACAACCTGAAAACTCCTTAATATATAGCCAACATTTTGGTAAAACATATTCCACTCACTCCACTGGGTCAATAATAAAAAATAAAAAAGATCGTTTTATTTTGATTACGTTGTTTTCGTAATCGTTGCTAGCCATAATCGTAATGGCGATTAATTGAGCAGCCCTAGTTTGAGTGCTGTATCTGTACCTCCTCCAGGGCGGGTATATGTTTCCAGTTCTGTCTGTCAGCAGGATATCTAAACAAGTAGTGACCTGATTTACATGAATCTAGTGGAAAGGTGTTTCATTTTTAAATCCACATTTCAGAGTGGATCTGAATCTCTGACAGCTTGCTCTATATAATATAATATAATATGTAATTACCCTCTTTAATCATTTTCCTTCATCTTGATTCTCTGCCCGTACCCATGTCAGCTAGTCTCTCTACAGTTGAATATATAAAATGGCTGCACACCTGCATGGTGCTTTTTTAGAGCATGACTGCTTCTTCTAGCAGTAAACATGATGCAAATGAACACACGGTCTAAGCGCTTCCCCTCAGGAAACTGAGACTAATGGAAAAAGTGGTGCCCGTCCCTAATGAGGTGAGACATGTTGCTGTCTGGGAGACTTTAATTAGGCTGTCAGCTCATCTAGAGAATTAATAACCCCACTCTCTCAAGGTGTTCCTCATTGGTGCCTTGCGCTCCTCTCAACAAGGACTAGCAATCTTCCTTACAGTATGGATGGATGTTAATGCAGTACAAATTCAGAGAGAATGCTTTTAACAGAGTTTGTTTCACAGCAAAACACCTTTTCATACTTCAGAGCACTTTGTGTTGAGATCGTCAGAATGAAAACACATAACATCAGTAGTACATAGTTTGCAAGCTTTCTTTTCCTTGTTAACTAATCTAAAATCTGAAAATAACCTACAAAGAACTGATGCTAATATATAATAATATATATTTACCGGTATATCCAAAGCCAACATAGGATTGTTTTTGTTTTATTACTTGATATAGAGATAGTTTTCAAGTTTTTGCACAGCAACTTTTTTGTGTTTTTTAAGAACTGTTTTGTTTGTGACCAGTTTAAGGACCAATACGCCTCGACTTAAGTGCCAAAGGGGGGGGTTGACAGGGTTATTGGTTTAGTCCTCTTCTTGGATATGATGTCAATAAGAAAAATGTTTAATAAAACCAGGCTTTCATCTATGTACACGTCCTTGAATCTACACGGGTATTCTTGGTACAGTGACCCTCCCCGTAGAGCAGAAGAATGCACTCAGTCTTGGGTCGATACCTGCTGGCCCCACTGCTTGTAAATCATTGATTCACTTTGCTGAGAAACGCTCCAACTTTGCCGGCTACATGTGTTTGCCTACAGCTTATCACTTCCTCTGACACTGGCAAGTTTCAGTCGCTAGTTTTGTTCAGTACAAAAGACCTTACGGCTCAGGTAAACAAAGCCTGTTTGTGTGAGAAACTCCATCCCTCTGGGAAGTAGGTCCCCACAGGACAGCTGATGTTTACTGAGGGATATAGGAATGGAAATAAACCTCATCACACACACACACACAAACCCTGAGAATGATCAGTATACTTGCACCCTTGAATGCCATTTGCATTTGTTTGTCCTGTGTAGCTAATAAACGTTGTTTTTCTTACAGGAACCCTGGTGGCAGGCGAGCACAGTTTCCCCTTCCAGTTTGTCCTTCCAGGTGAGTGTGGGATAAAACCCAATGACCCATTTGTATCTCATTCCTTCATGTCATGGCGACGCCTTCACTTTCCGTAATAGTTTTCTCATAAACCTGCTTTCAGAGATCCAGACGTCAGAGAAAGGAGCACACAGGTGTGATAACGTCTGATAACATGTGTACTAACAAAGTGCTCGGCTCTAAATCCTTTGTCTCCCACACAAAGCAGATTTGTGATAGCGATGGTGTGTTTGAAGGATCATAACAAAGTTAATGTTTGGAATGTTTCAGATTTAGAAGGAACATACCAGCGTGATAATTCATCTTTACCCGACATGCCTCCTTTTTAACAAACACGTAGATTACTCCTCAAGATGGAACTGTTATACCTCCACAATCGTGCAAATAAGACAAAGATCAGATTCGTGACACCTGTGAGGGAGCACACAGCGCAGTGTCAGTGTCTGTCTGGTATCTTGCACTCTCTCAGGCGTGGGCTGAAGCACTGGGGGCGGTGTTATTTTTAGTTCCCCCTCCTGTTGTGCAGTCACTGTTTAATTGGTGTTCATGCCCCCATGCTTCGCCCTCCCCTCCTCTCAGGCCCTCACACTAGAAAGCATCAGCACAGGGTTAACTATCACGTAGAGATAAGTGGTTCATCTGAGAGTCAATTGTCTCCTACTGCCCCCTGCTGGTGAATCTGACAGACATGCTAACTTTAAAAAATACTTGAGGCAATTAAAACAGGACATATTCTGCTCATTCTCAGGTTCATATTTGTATTTTGTTACTGTGACATGTTTCCGTGCTTTAATGTTCAAAAAGGTCTTTATTTTTCTTATGCTGCCTGTGCTGCAACCCCTCTGTTCGCCCTCTGTCTGAAACCAGAGTCCAGTCTGCTCTGATTGGTTAGCTGGCTGGCTCTGTCGTGATTGGTCGACTGCTTAGCCTATCATGTACGATGTGTTGGAGGGCTGGCCAGCAGAACCCGAAAAGCCTAGTAGGACCACTTAAACTCATAATGGAAATATAGATTACTAAGGTAGATTTAGTCAACCTGACTTTAAAAAGATGTTCACGAAGAAAGGAAAACACCTCAGAATCATAACACAGAAGATACAAACAATCATAGAGAATGATGTTGATTTTGATTTCTATAAAAAACAAAACAAAGGCATAACTAAAAAACTGTCTTCTGAAAGTCTGCTGATAATGCATTTACACTAAAATGTTGCAGCAAAGCAGTTTCATTATCTCAAGGTCAAGACGTGTATGTAGCAACATCAAATTGTCAGTTTCATGTTGTTAAATAACAACTGAGGTCATATAATACAATTTATTATTAAAAAAATGAATATATTTATTTTTCAACTGATTCATATTTGCAGGTAAATCGGGTAGATTAATGTTACTTGGAGAACAAATCTATTAAAGAAGCTAAACTAATTAAGGGTCAGAAAGAGGGTCAGTAAATAGGGTTTTAAGGACATGGTGGGGTTCACAAACCCACAACTAGAAAGGAGGAGGAGCCTTTAGGGATGGTTTTTTGTTTTTAACAGGACTGGACAGGGAGGGACTCACAGAATTTCCTCCTATAAGCCAAGCTCATTTATCTGGAGTCGAGGCATCAGGTGGTGTTCTGGCCTGATCATTTCTCACTGTGGGAACAAAGACATGCAAAGACAGGAGGAAGGCGTGGGCCGGAGATAAGCGTCGTACAAGGACACAGGGAGGGATAAATAGGGTGGGATGAGATGGTGGATGGCCTCATTCCAGAGGGACATGATATACAAGTAGAGGAGGAGAAGAGAGGAAAACAAAGGAGATGGAAAATGGAAACACTTTTATCCTTTGTAGGGGAGCACGTAAGAATACTTGTTTTCCTACAAATAAACCGAATAACCCGTAAGCAGCTGATGTTAAAGTTCCATAGCAGCTTGATAATCTAATACCCCTCTATCTTTCTGAAATTACACTGTCAACTGTGAAACATTTCAAAACAGGAAGGTGTTGGCCGTTAAACCCACATTTAGAAAGCATGTCCAAACAAAGCATGTAAAAAATACCCCAGATAGGATTCCTTCTTACAAACAAATGCAGATAAGACCTTCTCTACTTGATCTGTACGCCTCTGAGGTCACAATCTAAATCCAGATTTGTTTTTTTAGTGATGGTCCATTTTTAAAACTTAAGCACTTTAATAAAAAAAAAGGTTACTTTGACAAATAATTGTTGTTTGGTGATTTACAGGTTAGAGCTCAAACTGGGCTAAATTTAGATAATGACTAAAAATAAGTTTTTTTGTTCTTATATAATCGTGTTTCAACTTGTATAACTGATACTGAAATATAGTTGATAGTGTTGATGTAATATCAATTACTAAGAGTCTTCATCCATGCTAAAGCTGAGGCTGTATTCAGGCACAGCTAAATGCTAACAACTTGATGTTAAACAGGTACTTTAAAATGTCTGTACCAAATGTGAGGGTAATCCATCCAAGAGTTATTCTCCAGTACAGATCTGTAGGCAGCGGGACACATTTGTTTTTCTTTGGTGGAAGCATTCATTCTTTCATTTGTATTGGGACTAATAGTTTTGAACTGACTTTGGTTGCATGCAAACACTCAGTGTGTAGAGCAAAAAGGCTAGCGCATTGGCCCAAATACCATCTTGGAACACACTTCCAATCTTGGCCTGGATCATTATCTGCATCTCCATTGGCTACGACAAGATCTTTAAATAGCAGTTGTTTCCCCAAGAGGCTTAATTGACGTCCGACTGATGGCCAACGGTCTCTAACATTGGTCAAAATGTGTCCAGAAAACCACAAAGTTTAAACACAAATGTTGGAATCACCAAGGTCATTAGAATCCATCTTCTGGGGATCATGAATAACTTTCACTTTTAAAAAATATAGCCCAGTTTAACTGCAGGTACCTGGTTGCTTTTCATCTGCTGAGTCCTCATTAGGTTCCTAGACACACAAGCTCATTAGGAAACCTAAGGGTTAGTGAATAATGTTATCAGCTTGAAGTAGAACAGCAGCTCAAAGAGTCAGAGGAAGGTGTTTGTCTGAGCTCATAGGAACAAGGTGAGCTGCACATCCTCGGCCACTTTCAGCAGCCCAGAGGAGCTCAGCGTGTGTCTCCAGTAGGGCTGCTCGATTATGGCAAAAATCCTAATCTCGATTATTTGGGTCAATAATTGTAACAGGAAATAAATGTTGAACTACAATTTAAGACCAAATAAAAATGTTTTCATTTATTTCCTGTTACAATTATTGACCCAAATAATCGAGATTAGGATTTTTGCCATAATCGAGCNCAGTCACACTGTCATAAGCTGACGATGGTTAAAAAAGCAAAACCCCATAAGTTTCCTGCTCAAAGCCGCGACCTTTGGCTCCTGGATACAAAGAGAAACCTTTTTACAAGAATCAACTTTTAAAGCTGATTGAGCCGATTGGATTGTTTTAGACTGGCATTCTTCCAGACTTAAATTTGGTTTATATGTCCAATTTTGCTGAAATTGTTCTTGACAGAGCTGTTATCCAATTCGTAACGATGTGTTAGATAAGTTTGGAGACGAACACAGGGCAACTGTTGACACCACTCAGGTACATAAAACATTACAGAGCACGGCTTTCTATTATTGCAAAGGGAGAACATTTTTGCCTCTCATTCAGAAGATCCTCGCATTTGGCCTAGGGACTGATATATAGATGACTTTGAGGTTGGTTTGCAACCGCATATAGGAACATCACAAGGAAAAAAACACAAGGTCTGGGTGCAGTGTGATTGGGTCATCTCAAATGTCACCGAATACCGGTATAGGTCATCTGTTACGAGTCCAATCTATGTTGCTGTGTGTGTGTAGTAGCATCGATGTTGTGTAACTAGTGTGTGTGTGTGTTCTGTGGTCCACTGTGTGTAGACCTTGCAGTATTCGTGCGTGCGGCAAGAGCGTTGTATGTTCGTTCTTGCGTGCGTACTGTGCGATGCGTGCTGTGCGTGCTGCGTGTTCTGCTGACACCTTGGCTGCGCCCAGTAATCGCTTAAGCTGTACCCACCAAGTGTTTATTAATGAATTGGAACTGCAATGCAAGCTCTGCCCCAGCGTCTGGCTTTGTTTAGCTAGTCCGTCGTAGACAATAATTGAATTGACTTCAGGATAGCATGGAGGTGAGGGCGCTTTCTATCTGCGCTCAGTGTACGCTTACAATCCGACCTAGTGGTAACTATGTACAGACAGCAGTAGTCTTCAAGTTCTGAATGAGTAGCCTCATAGACGATGGCTGGCTGTTCTCGGTGGACTTTCTCATTTCTATACAGTCCCAGGCTTCACCCTGAAGAACCAAGGAATTTTATGCCAGGACTTTTTGAAGTAGTACTAGATGCCAAGGGCGTCATTCGTCATTTGTGAGAGAGTCAGTCTGGCTATACTCAACATCAGTCACGATTCAGTAGATATTATTCTTCTTCTGACAGGCTCACATGCTGATTCGAAATCGGTACTTCCAGATCTTACAAGTAGCACGTGTATCTCAATCCATCCCATTCAGTCGACCCTCTTCCACCCTCCTCTCCAAGACCTTTTTCAAGCATAGCCAAGGAGTCTATTAAGTCTTGGTATCGTCCAATATCCAGGAAACATTACACTGTATGCAACAGTTGAGTCATCTACTGTACGTTCATAACCACTAACCTCAATCCAATCTCTGTGATTGCACATTCCACTGGTCTAATTTCATGAATTTGAGATAATGCACATTATGTACTCTCGTCACCTTACAGATGCACCCAGACTTTCTTATTGTGAATGCTTGAATTAGGCCAGTGTGCCTTTGAGAGAGATTTCTAATAGATTCTCTCACTATCGAAAGAAGTGCCTTATCCCATTCTCGCAAAGCCCATAGATTTGCGACTGAGTCATCATTCTGGTACTTATTACGTAGATTTAAGCAACGTCACAGCTTATTATTTTTGAAGAGGGTGGTAATGCATTCTCTCTCAGAAGCTTCA